ATCTACAACCGCGGTTCAAATATGAATTATTTCATATATACTTCACATCACAGCGTATATATGTTGCATGCCGTGACGGCTTCAAAACTTTCAATAGTCGCCTTTCGAAGTTTAGACGCACGAAATACCACGAACAGCTCGTTCACAAATATAGACCGAAGGTAAAAAAAAAAACTGCAACATAAAAAAGACTTCACGCTGACAAACTGAGATATTTCCCAGACTTTCCAACTTCCTCAGGTTTTATTGAATAAAAATCTCGCACTAAAATTAAAAACAAAGCTACTTTTGTATTTTAGTGATTATTGCATCTTCATTTAATAGTGACATAGCTTCAACGATTTTTTATGTTTATTCAAAGATACTGTATACATCTGAGGATCTCTGAGTTTTTCACTATTTGCCCTGGTAGAGTGACGCCCACTTGTCGAAAATTGTGTGGTGTTGCAAGAATTCAATGATTCGTTCACCGGCCGCTCCACAGTTACTAGCACAGGGCCTTGCCTAGGTTTATATTCTCTTTGAAAACCTCTAGTAGCTAGGATGTTTGCAATTTAGCGGAAACGTGCCTTCGTTTAACAAAGTTATGTCTATGTGTTTTAGTTTGAACCCTCATCAACAACCGTCATATTATTATCCTTTTGCTTTGCTTAGAACTACTTGAGGACCACTAAGCATTCATTGGTCCCAGTGACATGTGTGAAGGAGGGCCAGTCCTCAGCGGAGTTTGATGCTGTGTTTTGAACTGTCAGCAAGGTAGGAACAATACATCGATCCGTTCTCCACCCAACGTTGAAGCAAACAGATTTTTATAATTACTACTAGTGTGGTTCTCAGTCGTTGTAATTGTTTGGTAGTTTTTTTTTTCTGCTTACTGAGCTAAATAAAAAGTTCAAGACATCTTCCAGTACTACTCAACCGATTGGGTAACGTATTGGCTTTCCAGGCAGCAGCGGCTCTATACCTAAACAGGCCTTGACGTGTCTTACCGCGCTCAACATATTTCCGCTTGTAGTTCTGACTGGTTGATTATTTTGCAGTTGACTACACTGGTTGTGGTTTAACGGCAGTCCTTAGATTACCGTTCCAAGATGTACAGTTGTCTGGACATCTTCTTTTATTTAGTCTTTGGTTCTCATCTTCAAAAATGATCAGTTTTCGTTTTCTTCTGTCAATTGTCCATAACCGCATTCTTCAGCCTTTAGTTACTCTGACTGTCACGACACCCATTCTCGAATAAAGGAATTCGCAGGCAAGATAGTTGTCACGTAAATCTTTCTTCCTTAATACTCTTAAGTGTAAGTTCAGTTCTGTACTATCGGTTTGTGTCTTATGAATCAATGTGGTGTTATCGTTTCCACAAATAAAAAATAACCATTTCACGTCAATTTTTATTTTCAGCACATTTTCAAGAGCTGAATGACGGCCTGACAAACACTGAACCTGTTCAGTCTTAATTTTCTAGTTCAGAGTGCTTTACAGATTTTTAATCGTGGGTTTATAGTAAGGTGTACTTGTTATAAACGTGATTGAGATACCAGTAGGTTTTCACTCGTAAGGGCTTTTGTATGTTTTCTAAACGTCAAGTATTTCCTTATATCAGATAACAAAAAAACCTTTTGTGCGCTGATACATTGAACTACTCCTTAGCCAACTTGTTCGTAGTA